AGTTATTCTTTTATTAGTTTTTCTTTAAAAATACAATTATTTTACAATAATTTTTTGGACAATTAATTCATCTAATTGTATTTGTTATGTAATTTATTATTGTTAATTTCGAGTATATAATTAACAGAAATTTGGATTTTTTCCATACATCACACGGGTCGCCACTAGTATTTCATTCCTCATATGAAATATAAGCCCGGGCCTGGGCTGCGCCAGGCCAGGCATTGGGCCTTTTCTATTATATTTAATATAAATTTTATATTATAATACATATAATATGATGTAAATATATATTTAATATGCATAAATACCAAAATATTATATATAACATATTGTTTATCTAATTTTATAACATTTATACATATAATATATCATAAAATTAAAATAAAAAGAAACATTGCAGGCAGTGCCGGTATTAGGCTCAAGCCTGACCTGAAAATTTGTGAGCCCAATGTGAGCCTAGGCCAGGCCGAGATGGGCCTGAACACAAAAACCTGAGCCCGAGATGGGCCAGGCTGGACTTTGGGGCTGGGCTGGCACTGCCTGCAATATTTCTTTTTATTTTTATTTTATGATATATTATATGTATAAATGTTATAAAATAACTATAAGGTATGTTATATATAATATTTTGGCATTTATACACATTATAACATATATTTACATCATATTATATGTATTATAATATAAACTTTATATCAAATACAGTAACAGAGGCCCAATACCTAGCCTGGCCCAGCCCAGGCCTGGGCTTATATTTCAGGCTCAGGCCCTGCCCTAGACTCTCTCTCTTATAATAAGTGCTAAACCCAGTCCAGGACCGGCTTAACAAGGAATTGCTAGTGAAAGTCGGGTGTATTTAAGCCAACAGCTTAGGACATTTTTTTTCAAAATAAAATTCCTTCTATAAAACAAAATAGTACAAATTTTCATTTACTAGAATTTCTCTGTGTTATTTGATGTCTAAAATTTTAATGGGCTGGCCAAATTGGGTTTACTTAAGATGGATTTTTGTTGGGTGCCCACATTGAGAGTTTATTTAAATGGGTCACTGATCGATGTTGGTTAGATGAATATCTGAACCCAATCCATACAATTGCCACCCTTATTCTGGCCCTTGGTTGACTTATTATGTTAGTAATTAAGAACATTGCTGGGTCGGCAGTACATCAGAGCTATGAATACGAGATTGACACTTGGAGATCGGGCCAGGCTCGGGTTAAGATAAGTTTGGATTGGGTTTGGGCTACCTAGGGCTAGGCAGGGCCCATTTTAAAAATAAAACCCAAACTTTAATCCAGGCCTTATTAGGGTTGAGCCCGCATCCCGAGATCTTAATAAAAATTCAAGCTCAGCCCATATAGAGTTTTGGTCTGGATTGATCAAGCTCAGGTTGAGCCCGCCTAAATTTCACCCTTATTAGGGGTCTCGGGATGCGGGTACCTGATTTGGAGGATTTACACTGCATCTGACATGGTCCTTTGAGTTTGAGCCAGGGCTATTCAAAATTTCACAAACTCCCAATTCATCTGTCCAATTTGCACCCCCTGGCATGGTTCGGCACGGCCTATAAATATTATATAGTATTTATTAAATTTATATTTATTAATAGTATTTATCAATAAAATAATTACCCAAAATACTTTCAAAACTATAAAAACTACAATAAATTCATTAAAATTACCAAAAATAATTTATAAAAGTACTCTAACAATATTTACGAAAAATACTTTGAAATTTACCAAAACTACAGTGTGTAGTAATTACAGTATTAATATCAAATATGGTTTAGATTAGTTAAATTTAATGACAATGTTTATTAGTTATCAATATTATTAACAGTATTTAGTAATTAACAATATTTAATGACAATAACAATATTTATTAATAACACTATTAATTAAATTAATTTGTTATAATATTAAATATTGGTATAAAATTAATAACGATACTAATTATTTGTATTAGAGAAATTGTCCAAAAGCCATTATCACTTTTTATGAATTCTTTTAAACTTACCGTAACTTTTCAAAACTTTCAAAACTCACATATCAGTAAATAACGATAACTTGACTAATGGACATCATTAATTTATTATTTTACCTCTCTTCCACCGCTGAAATGTTTCTTTTTTATCTTTTGTAGTTTAACGCCAGCATTATTTCCTTTTCTTTCTTCACTCCGACTCCGCCCTCTCTCTCTATCTCTCTTTCCATCTACAGTGTTACAAGTTTTGAAACCATGGTAATTTGTTGAAACAGGTCTCCTTCTCCCATTTCAAATAGATCTAACCCTAACTAACCCTAACTCAAGGACCCAAGAAAGCAACTGTGGAGTCAGGAGGAATTTCGGTAGAAATTCCTTCGCAAGACCTTCAGTTGTTCCTCATCAGAGAAGTTTCAATCCAGTCACTCCGGCTACCACCACCACCACTACCGTTCATATCCTCTGCCAACGGCGACGATGATAGCATTCCTGGAGCGATTCGTTCATGAAAGTGAAACTGAAACAAGACCAGGCAACGACGACGATGCAAGCCTATTAAGAGGCCTCGAGTTACAAGCGACAATAGTTTCGTCCGCACCGCTGCTGCTGCCAAGGATTTCGGCGGTATCGTTGAAGAAAAGCCGCTAGCGGTCATCAGGCCAGCCTCCCTAGAAGACGTAGTTAGAGTAATCAGAGCGCGGCTTCCAGGTCCACCCATCTCACGGTCGCTGCAAGGGGTAACGACCACTCCATCAATGGCCAGGCTATGACGGTCCGAGGGCTGGTGATCGACATGGGGTCCATGGAAACTCAGATTGAGGTGGTGAGGTTTGGCGACTCGGCTTACGTCGACGTCGGAGGGGGAGTGCTGTGGGAAGATGTACTCAAACGGTGCGTACGGGGCTTCGGTCTGGCGCATAGCTTGCTTGAGCCCTTGATTCATACACGAGTTAATTCACACAAAATTAACTCTACTTATCCCTAGTTTGACATTTAAGCTCTTCTTGGTTGTGCACATAGCTTGCTTCCTTTTGAACACTTCAACTCCTAAGCACGTACTCCCTTTCAACTTTAACATTTTCAGCTCTTGTAAGCTACATAAATGTGAGAAACTTTGAAGCTTGAGCAACACACTTATTTCCATCCCTAGACATAAACACATTGAAGCACTTGAAAGGGAATTTGCACAACATGAACCGTTTGGGCTGCAAGACATAATCACTTAAATCAACTTGACCAAATTTGGTCTATTTGTTGTCATCAACTCACATTAAGGCTGCATTTGGAAATGATACAAATAGAGTGTAAATCCTGGTTCAGGGTAAATTTGCACTCTGATTCAGTTTTGCCTGTGTTTGGCAATATTACATTTATGCATTGATAAATAACATGTCAATGTATATTTACATTGATAATAAGATGTAAAAGTACATCAATAAAATAGAAATAAATTTATATTCAAGTGGACTTTTGATAAAAAAGTATATGCTTTATTGGAATTCATGTTTTCATCATTACAACTAAAAGTCTATTTGGTAAAAAGATAATTTTATCAATGCAAAGCTAACTCAATTTTGCAATTTATATGAATGGTTTTATACTCTATATATTTGCATCCACACTTATTTACATCGTTTCCAAAAGCAGCCTAAGGAATTGATCCATACCCAACAATAATTTCTATTCTTAGTTCAGTTCTATTTTAATATTCAACAAATCATACTGTCACCTCCATATCTATGTGCACTTTTTTTTTTTTGTTTTTCCCCCTCTTGTATTCGATTTCCTTGAAACAAAATTAGCATGGATTTGATGCTATAACATGAGTACTAGTTCTAGGAAAAAAAAATAATAATAACTATGGCTTGAAAACGAATGGGCCTTGAAACCAGTTCTGGCTTTGTATGTGAAACATTTTTGTTTTACTTTTAGCAACAAATTTTATTAATCATTTTACAATTTATCATAAAATTTTATTATTTACCAACCCTCCTCCATCCATGGAAAACAAAGCTTCGTATGTGAAATTTAATTATTTATCATAATCTCTGGTCACATGGCTGTTGGGTAGGACAGATAAGAGTAGTGATAAGAGAGCTCACTAAACCAAATAACCCTTCCTAGGCCAAGGGCCGAGGCTGACACTCAAAATTCCCACCAGGGTCATCACTGTCAACATCCTGATAATGATGGGCCTGCCATCACCACGAGCCCACAGTGATAGTACCTTTTTAGCCTATAGAGCATCTTTTACCAATACTAGATAGTTACACACAAGCCTACAACCACAACAGGTTGAGGTTGAGGTTGAGTTGGTTCCCCGCTGGAAATCTGGAATCTTCTCTCATTCTACTACCAACATGTTGATTGTTGCCAGGTGGCAAGCCAAGCCGCAAACGAATTGGGCCATTGAACGCAGACATGTGCATCTTTATGTGCACACCGCGCATGTAAGAATTTTCCCACCACGCATATTATCCATGACTATGAGACCTCGACACTTCGACAGGTAGTAGGTGAACCGTGAAAAACCCCATTTTTTATCTCTCACCGAGTCACGAGCCACCACCGACCAGTGCATGAGAGAGAATGTAATGGGAGAGAGAGAGAACAGAATCACTTGATTCATCTGTGGGGCCCAATGTTGTTTAATACCCTTAGATTAAACACCATATGATCCAATGGTCACCAATGAAATTGAATACCAATTGATCCAACGGTCGTTGATTCCCTTTTGTCTTATTTTTGTGAAGGGTATTTACACAACGGTGATTCCATAAGTTAGACTGTTAGTGGGGGTACACTATCACGGTATCACAGCGGCATGGAGCAACCAAATAACAAACGGATAACAAGAAACTGACAGGAAAGGCGAGAGGGAGCTGATGGTCACGGGTCGCACTGTTTTACCCATTAATATTATTACTTTAAATCCGCAAACAAACAAACACCTCTACTCACGCTCGTTGAAAATCAGAACCCCCCAATCATCCCACTCCTTGTCATTTCTACATGTTTCAGATCGGGTCGGGCCCCTAATGCCAAAACTCGTATCTTTACACACATCGAGGAGCCCATTATTCAGATTTTGAAGTGGGTGAGTTGGAGTTCGGGTCAGAAAAAAAGGGTTTGCGGGTCACAAGTAGGGACATAGCTGTAGGTAACTCAATTTTGTTTTGTCTTTTTGCCTGACTAGAAAAGCGTGGAACGGTGGAAGAAGCAACGAATAGGTGTGTAGTGACTAGTGAGAAAGGTGGTTCCGCTTCTGCATTCGGTATTCACCATGATGACTTCGTCGTCGTCGTCGTCGTTTTCTTCTTCTTCTCTGCTACAGTACTTGTTTCTATTCTGGGCATTTGCTTTCTTTGGAGTTGTGAAAGGAGCTTCTCCGGCGGTGCCCGTCGGCAACATTTCTCATGTGGAAGACGCTCAGTATTTTCATATGTACTACGGCCAGACCTTCAAAGTCATCAAAAATGCCATCGACGGCAAGAGCTATCTCCTTATTCAGGTACCCAAAACCATCTCTCCCTCTCTCTGTCTCTCTCTTTCTGGGATCTCTTTGTCTCTGTGCTTAAGCTAAAATGAACCATGGGAATTTCACTGGCTTATCATGCACCCATGAATGGTTCTGATTCAAGGGTGTGAAGTAAGCACCCCTGCGAATGTTTAGGTTTGGACCAATGAATTGGTCTTTTGTGCTGCAAGCCTTATGGCAGCAGTGTAATTTGATGTACGTACGAGTACCTAATCATGCAGTTGTTTGGTTATTAGTGTTTGTTGTATTCTTTTTGGACGGTGGAAAACCCAAAGTTTCTACAAATCAAATGGTTAGGATCACTCTACCGTCAAGTAACGGAGGAAGAAGAACCGTTCGTCAATTTTGATGCCGAGGGAACCCCTGTTTGCTTGTTACCTCTCCTGCTCTTAAGCGTTTTCTGGGAAATGTTTGGGAGCAGGGAGTAATGAGATCCAACTTGTTTTAATTTCTGTTTTTTTCTTTTTTGGTGAAGAACAATTCGAGAATGGCGACGAGGACAAAATACTGCACAGGGAGAATAAAATCGTTTGTGGTCCCACTATCGAACTATTCCATTAACGTTGAGCATTTTCCAGGTATATCTCTGAATCCAAACAGTATAAATGTTTTTTGTTCATTTATTTTAGTCGGTGGCATGTGGCGAGCGGCGTGCGCAGTGCGCTACATTTCTGGCCCACTGACCCATAACGCACTTTGGGATGCCCACCGCAAGAAAACAGCATTATTGAAGATTCCAAGACCCTAATTAGTCATTCTGGGGGCCCAGGTTATCTATCATGAAAACAATCAACTCCAAACCCATTTTAAGGAAGAAGTAATATATATTTTTTTTATATCTTTTGAAGGGTTACACAACGGGGTAACCCATCGCCAACCCATAACCCCCCCGCTAACCCAGGTCTGGTGCAGGCGGGATAGTGAAGTAATCACAATATTTAGATTAGCTGAATGAGGAATGAGGAATTCGGATTAGCTGAATGCGATGGCTGTCCAGCAGACTGTGGAACTAACGATAATATTCTATGCCAGTACTCTAAGAGGTGTAGTTCAATGTACTTTATTATTAGTATGGAAAATTATCATTGGTTTCACAGTCCACTGAACAGCCATTGCATTCAGCTAATCCTTTCCCATATTTGGAAGGGCTGAGCTGAACATTTATTTGAGCTGGTTCAACTGTTCTGAAGCATTCTGGATAAGCTATTAAAGCGGCTGAAGCAGATAGAGAAAAGGCCTATCTCGGATCTTTTAATTTTTCACCAAGTATAGATTAAAGGCTGTCCCCGTAAGCTCCACCTGAGAAAGCCAGAAACTGTTGCGCTTTCAAATCCCAAATGCAATGGGAGGCTGAGCTAAGCTGAACATTTAGCTAAGCCGGTGTAAGCTGATTGCTTTGGTAAGGCAGTGGTGAATAGTCTGACTCCAAAAGTCAAGAGGAGAGTGGTGATCGTGAAGTCAGTGGAAAAGTGAGAGAGAGAGGAAAAAGGAAGAAGAGAGAGAATTTGGATCTCCTGGGTGGGTGTTTAATAAATATGACCTTCATGGATGGGCATGGACTATATAGTGTTTTGCATCTCTATTTTTAAGAATCTTTTCATATTTTTTTTCCTTACCTATTTTGCCCTTATATTTAATTAATGCACATGCCCTTAATAGTTATTTTGGAAAATTTTATTTAAATTAATACAAATAACTTTATTTGAGTGGTAATTGGCTTGAACCATTTTGGTTTGACTTGGGTCTATGCTGGGTCAGCTGGGCCTATGTACTTATATAAATCCACCGTCCAACAAGCTGATTCAACTGCTTTGAAGCAGTCTAGATAAGCTATCCAATGAATCTGAAGTAGATAGCCAAAAAATGATTGACTGACAATCGATTTAGACTCTCCAGATAGGGGTGCAACTTGGGTGGGTTCAGGTTGGGTGTGGTTGAAGGTCAACCTAGGTCCAACCCGAGGTTAGGCCCAAGATTATCAACCCAAGGTTAACTTGAGTAAATCCACCACAATTTGGGTTGGGCCGGGCTCAGTTGGCTTGGACAGATTTGAAAGAATTTGTGAATAAATTTTTATATGGTCATTTGCCATGATATATATATATATATATATATATATATATATATATATATATATATATATATAATGGGCCTGTCCGTACTTTTCCGAAAAAAACATGGTTTGGTATAAATATAATAAGTATACATGTATCTGTTCGAGAAGGCTTGGGGTGGGTTAGGCCGGGCCAATGTTGGGCTTGGGCTACCTGAGGCCTCAACACAAGCCCAACAAGGCCCAGGCCCAGCCTGCATCTCGATTCTCGAAAATGCAGGCCCAACCCATGCAAAAGCTCGGGTTGGGTTGGGTCGGGCACGAGTTAGGTCCACCCAAGCTGCACCCCCTATCTCCGGTTTTTTCACCAGGACTGTTTGTGTAGGCCTAGGCCGAAGGGCAGTTAAAAGCCCTTAAAACGAGGCCTACCCGGCTTGCTGACATTGGTCCCTAGTTCCATGACTTCCATCTTTTGAACTGCAGCAATCCACGAGTTCCCTTCCCTCAACAGGACCAAGCCAACATATATATCGCATGCATTTCTCTTTTATTGCACCTTGACTTCTTGATCATTATGTGTTTATTTATTTGTTTGTTTATTTTGTTTGTTTTCAGTGTCCTTCTTTGAGGTGAGAATTTCTGGCTTCTTGAAGTGGTAATGCTTATTCATTTTTAACTTTTACAAGTAATGCTACTAGCAATGATGGCCATGATCTCTGGATATGTTTTTCTATTGGTTACTTGGCTATTTAGGATATGGATTTCAGAGAAAACAGTAATATTAATTTTCTAGGTTCCATGTAAGTGTTTAAAACGGACGCTCATTTTGTGGGCTGTGCCTTGCCCGGCTTGTTTCTATGTTTTGATGAATTATTCTTCTTGAATTTGATATTGAATATGCTATTTACTATGTTGTAGATTGTAACTATGATACTCAGGGTCTAAACAGTTTAGCCTATAGGACTTGAACTTGAACATATAAGACCGCTACCTTTTTGTCAACAACAAGATATTATTCTACCTGATTCAACTGCTAGACTTTTTGAAATATTTTAATTCTTTCAGAACTTATGTTTTCATATTCTTGTATAATAAATTTTATTTTTTTCCAACAGTAACACTTTTCTTTGTTTAGGTCTGCACTGCCTTAATAGTTGCCCCTTAGGCTTTGGGATCCCCTTGCACTGATCGATTAGGATGATCAGAAACCACCATTCAATGTGTCTCGGTTGAAGATTAATAGGGAAAAAATCAATTTAAATTCTTGTACAAATGGTGTTTAGAGTAAATAATTTTGCAGTTACCAAATTTTCTATTTGAACTTTTTGAAGGCACTTAAAATTATCCATGGATCAGGCATCTGATCATGTTGATTTTTGATATAGGCCCTTTCATAAGTTGAACCCGCATTATGATTGGTTTTCATGATTGAACATTTGGCATGTGGTATGTTATGAGGGCCCAGACTGTAATTAGTGGTTCTCTGTTTCTAGACCTGAGATAATCTTTTTCCGCTTGTAACCTATGTGATCATAGTGTCTCTATGGACAAGGAAGATAGGCTAGCTTTGGTTAAACCTGGGATATTCCAACACCCTAGCATGGGGTCTTGTACTTGGATGGAATCCTAGCTTGATCCTTCCTAACCCATCCCATGATGTCCTGAAAGGGTGTTAGGCCTGAGCTTAAGTATGATATAAATGCAACTTCAATTTCTAGGTCTGGGCACCCTAAGAGGAAATCATAGAGATTAGAGTCCTTACAGGAGAGAGACTAAAGTCCTGCCCACCCTAAGAGGAAATCATAGAGATCAAATTCCTTTATTCATAAGACTACATCATCCTGTTATAGCTTGAAAGCTCCTCTCAAGGTCTCAATCACCAATCCACTCCACTCTAAAGAGTAGATTAGCTTTAATCCTTTTAGGAGGGTAGACACTTTTCCTCTTAAAGAGTTACCTTCCCAACTGATCTTGAAGACCTCAATAGAATACTGCCTTAATGATTTCTAAAGACACCTCCCTCCTCGAGGTACCAGAGTAGACTAGGGAACAATCATCAAGGTTAATCTTAACCATTAAGTTCTTTGGTGCTACCCAATTTTAAAGGGTGTGCTTTCTTTTTGTGTATGCCCAACTACCACTTGCTATCCCCATAGTATGGAGCCCCATAGAAACCCTTTTGATTTCATCACATGTAGAAATCCAACGAGCCACTTACACCATTTTGACGTGAGAGATGATATCAATCAAAACCTCCTTGTTGTTAAATATTCCTGAGTTCTAGTTGTCTATATTATCTTAAGCCAATGAAGTTTCGTTGGAAGTTCTGTTAATTTCAAAAAGAAAAAAAGAAGTTTGTTGGAAGTTAATGTTTTGTAGAATGCTTTAGCAGAATACAATTGAATCTAGATAATGCTTAAATAATTCTAGGAAGATAACTGAAGGGTTTATGCTAGAACTAGTGTTAATTGAGCAACTTATCAAACAAACTAGAGTGAATTGAGCTTTGGTCATTGTGAAAGATTCAGTACAAATAAAATTTAATGTAAGGATAATCTAGAATTCTTTTGGGGTGAGATTGTAATTAAGGGGAGTTTGATGTAAAGATAATCTATTGTAGATAACAATTGATAGTTTACTAGACTCTATTTGTATCTTTGTATATCTTTGTTTATAAGTTTTAATAAAATTTTGTTTGTTACTAATAAAAAAAGTACAAATACATTTAAAGCCTAGGGATAGCTTTGTACATTTGACGGGGGAATCCACCTGCAAGCAAACCAAGAGAGAAACCATTTCCAAATATATGCAACAAAAGGGCAAGAGATTTCAAGGGAGGGCCCTTGGCTCCTATAGGAAGCCCCTCATCATCCTCTCCAATTTTCTACCCACACCTTTGGAAATCTTGAGTACAAACAAAAAGTGTATAGGAAGATTAGCTAGGGTAGACCTAATCAGGGTAATCCTACCACCTAATGAAAGGTAACCCTTCTTCTAAGGGGCAAGCCTTTAAGCAAATATTTCTGTCACCAAATTCCAAAAGCTAAGGTTCTTTAGATTATCTCCCAAAGGTAAACCTAAATATTTCATGGGTCACTAAGAAACAAGGCAACCCAAAATATTTGAGCGATATGTTACCTCCCCCCCACCAAGTTAATCCCATTATGCTTTATTGAAATTCACCTTGAGGTTTTACATTTGTTCAAAAAGTTGCATGACTAATTCAAATTCCTTACCCATTTCAGATCACCTCCTTCATAAAATAAAAGCATACCATCTGCAAACCGCAAGTGGGTACTTGGCACACCATCTCTATTTATTCTCGAACCTCTCACTAAGTTTCTTGAGTCAGTCCTAAGAATTAATCTTTTGAGGGCATCTACTATGAATGTAAAAAGAAAGAGAGAGAATGGTCTCCTTGTCTATTTCCTCATATGACAAGGAAAAATCCACCACTTTTCCATTCACTAACACAAAATAATGACAAGTTCTAAGACAACCCATAATCCACTTAAACCATCTCTCTCCAAAACCATAGTTTCTCATCAATTCTAGCATGAATGACCAATCCACAAAGTCAGGCTTTTTCCAAATCTAATTTGCAAATTAAGCCTTTTTTTCCTATTCTTTTCATCTTCTCCATACATTCGCCAACAATCAGGATTTGGTCTTCACAAAATCCCCTTGATTAGGTGAAATGATAAAAGGAAGAACTTGCCTAGTTCTCAGAGAAAACACCTTATCTATTATTTAGTGTAAGCTATTCACCAAGCTAATAGGTCTAAACTTTTTTGGATGGACAACACCATTATTTTTAGGAATCAATGCAGTGCAAGTTGAATTCAATACTAAATCTCGTAATTGTAAATCCATATGGCCCTAGGGTTTTGGACTTGTCCATAGAAAAGACTGCTTCCTTAATTTCCTCTAAGGGACTCCTGAAGATTGCTTTACAGTGATCCACAAAAACCATAGCTATCTCTCTTGGATGAGTGATATCCTCACCTTCTATCTCCAATTTGGACACAAAATTCTTCTTTCTCCTATCAATGGTCATAGCATGAATATACTATGTGTTTCTATCACCCTCTTTAATCCATATAATTCTCGATTTTTGTCTCCAACTAACCTCTTATGCAAAATGTCCTCTAATTGCTTTTTCAGCAACCACCTTAGTTCTCTATCTCCTTTTGGGAGTTGGGGCCTTATTGTTTCTTTTGACTTGTAAAAAAGCTACTATTAAATTGATTACTCAAAAATGTAGATTGTGAAAGTTCCCTATTTTTTTATGTTGTTTATCTCAAAGCCAATTTATTTATTTATTTATTTCTACTTAAAGCAGCTTCTGGGTCTACTGGGGACCTTGAAGGGAATTACATCAGATTCTGTTGCTTCTCAATGTTTATTGAAATCATACACTGAAGGACAAATTGAGATTTTAAACAAAAGTGATTCCCAACAGCTTACACAATTCTCAGCATACTTTGTTAGTAGCATTGATCGACAACAAGGTTGCAATTCTGCCACATTTCTAGCAACTGAAGAGGATACTCCTCTTCAGGTAAATTTCTGACATAGAATGATGTATAGGTATTGTCATGTATATATGCATGAAATTCATTACCGACTTATTTTATTTATTTTTCTCAGAGGGCAGAATGGATCAAGTATTTGGGAGTCTTTGCAAATTCAGAAGCTCGAGCAAATCAAGTCTATGATGCAGTACGTTTGAATGTTATGATGAAGAATTTTCTTTGCATCACCTAATGAAATGTAATTAATGGTCTTAACTTTAGACGGTAATGAATAATGAATTTGTCTTAATCTTTAAATAGTGATAATTAGTGACTGTATAAAAGGACAATGTGGAGTTGATTTCATAATCTCCAACTCTGGTGACAGAATAATTTCATCCTAAGTCTCCACTACAACCAGCTAGAGACCTTACGAACTGAGCCAGTTTCCACTGTCTTAGAATGACCTAACAGTATGGGCATTATCCAGTTTTAGTGTAGGAGTCTTAACCATATAGAATGGTCATCAAATTTATTCTCCCAAAGAAGAGTAATCAGTTATTTAAGATGTTCTTGATGACCATATTGTGTTCTCTAGAAGTGGTTACCAGAAGTATCTTAATATGTGGAGAGGAAAATGTTTATCAGATTGCAAGTGGATTACTGATGGTGGCTTACAAAGTTTCTATGTATTAAACTAGCTCTATAAGAGCAGTACAATTCTCTAAATTTGCAAGGGATGAGGTTCCTCAAGTTGATAAGAGATCACAGGGATCAGTTGCAAGCTTTCAGAGCATGTAAGATATGCAATAAGAAGCAAAATGATAACTCACTATCCTTAATTTATGGCGTGACAATGAAACAAGACGGACCTGGACCTTCAATGGAGCCTTGTTTAGGGAGTCATTGGATGCATTGGATAAACCATTACTGGTTTCTCTTTTGTTTACATTTTTGTATATATATGGTGGCATTTTAAAGATTTATCTTTAATTGTCTTCATGTTTATGATGATGTAGCCCTGCACAAAAGTAAAGAAAAGAAAAATTAAATGTAAATCTTTCTTGTGCACAAGAGCAGCAATTGTTTGGTCGCTTTGGTAGGAAAAGAATGCAAGAATCTTCAAGGAGCAGATGTAGAAGCTTTTGTACAGCTTATTTCAGTGAGTGTAGCTAATTGGATTAAATCCTTGGAAGCATTCAAGACTTTTAGAGTTGATTAAAGAAGTAAATCTGACTTCTAAATTTGATAAGAAACTTTATCAAAGAAGTAAAAAAGTGAGAAAGGAAGAAAACAGCAGAATAGAAGAAGGGGATGGAGAAGAAGAAGAGGGTTCGATAATCACCTCTCTCCCCTTACTAATCCTTTTTATTAATCTTCACTAGTGTGGTTAATTACAAATCAGCCCTTAAGTGGGGCGTCCAGCTAAGCATAAACTTAAAATTACTTGGAAGAAGTTAACAGGCCCATTAGCATACAAAATAAATAACCTACTACTGAAACATAAAATAGACACTAGGGCCCATTCGGCCCAGTCTCTCAACAATTAAATCATTGAAGGCTGGAGTCATGTTCCCAAGACACCACCAGCAGAGTCTCATTGCACTGGGAATATAAACCTCTTCCTCAAAACCACATAAAGCTAAACTTTGATGGATGCAGTTTATGAAATCAAGGAAATCAGGTGTTTGAGGAGTTTTCATAAATCATTAAGGCCAAATGCTTTTTATTGGATCCTGTTGGAAGGTTTATGTTTAGCATCCATTTTGAACTATACTAATATAATAGTAGAGTGTGAAGGAATAGAGGCCCTTGTTATTGGTGACATTCATTTTAGGAAACTCAGCATTTTTCTCTTGGTTGAACAGCTAATTCAGCTGGATTCACAAATCCGTTCACTCTCTAACAGACTCACTGCAAGGGAAGGTTTCTTGAGTAGAATTTTACTAGGATGCAAGTATGTAATCCATTAGGATAAAGGTCTTTTTGTTCCATTGGATCAACTCACACAATGTGTGTGTACATGTGTGTGTGTGTGTGTGTGCTTATATTTTTGAGTAAAAAACGTGGTTAATGATATTTGAGTCAACTTTTCTGTATATAATGCTTATGGAGACTGTTTCTTGTAAACCCTAAAGTGACTCTAGGTATCCTTTGAGTGATTCTGATTTTTTTCTCTTCTTCTTCTTCTTCTTCCTCTTTTCTCTCTCTCTCTCTCTCTCTCTCTCTCTCTCTTTCTTTCTCTATTTTCTTTGTTATTCTACAAGCACATATTATAACCATCAGCATCCAATAAATTCTTCACAAAAAGTGATCTTTCGACATCTAAAAAAGGGCAGCCCAGTGTACGAGGCTCATGTGAATGCCGGGTCTGGGTGTAGACAGATATACACAGCCTTATCCTGTACATACAGAGAGGCTGTTTCCAAGACTTGAACCCTGGTCGCCCAGGTCGCAATGGAGCAACCCAACCATTGTACCAAGGTCCACCCTTGATCATTCAACATCTATAAGGACTAACTAAAATTGATCCAAGTATGTTTCCTGACAAGTTTACATGAAAGCCCAAAGTTTTCCTATTTCAGAATGTTTTTCCTTTTATGCCAAACCATCTTTGCATGACATTATATTAGTTTTTCTATTACAAGTTTCCATCATCTTTCATCGTACCAAAATTTATACTGAAACTCCACCAAAAACTGGGGTTTTTGGAATTGTCATTACAAAGAGATTCTGTTCTTTTGTTGAGAAGTTACTCATGGTGCATTCAAATTAAACTTCCAACAAAAACCATCATTACAATAATCATTAAAAGGTTTCTTTAAATATATTACATCCTTAAGCTTAGATTTTCTGACCCTTTTTAACCCTTTTACCTTCAGTCCTAAACTTTTTCTAGTTCATTGCTACTCTTTGAGGCTAATCCTTTTGTCATTCCAATCCTATGTCAATTTGGTATGAGAGTAGTCAGTCCTACATCAGACTAACTTTCACTTCCTTTTGTTTTTCTCTTGTTTCTATAATGGCACATCTTGATGCTCTTCATGACGTCATGCATTAAAATGTTGTTTTCTATTAATAATTCGATTCTGTTACTGATCAAAATAGAAAAAGAAAAAGGAAGTCAAGAATGAAAGTAGAATTAGCTGAAAAAATTGGACTCAAAATACTTACGTGGTTTCTAATCACATATAATCTTTCTTCCAAGATTGAAATATCTGTAGCCATTTCTGCTGAAAAATAACCAAGTTTTTAACTTTGACATTTTAGTGCCTTTGCAGGTGAAAGAAAACTATATGTGCTTAGCTAAAGCTGCAGCAAGGAATACATCCTCGTTCAAACCTGTAGTAGCTTGGTTGGAATATAATGAGGTCTTTATACCCAAAAAACATACAAAACTACCATATTTCATTTGATTTGGTTATCTTGCTAAATCAGAAGAACCGTTTGGTATTGCATATTGGGCCAGTTGCATTAGAATTAAAGAAATAGTTTATAGTGGTTACAGATTATGCACATTATATATTTACCACCCTTGGATATAATTAATTTTTTACACACCTTTCATTCAAATTTGCAGGGCATTTGGTCTTTCACTAAAGAAGGATACAAGATGAAGGTATGGATTTTATTTCTCAAATTATTGCAAGGTTACCTCAGATGACAGCATGATATATAACATTTAGGTGCACGAAGGTTACTAATGGTGGATTTATGGACTAATTTACTTCCATGTGCTTGTGCAACACATGGAAGATTTTAGTATCGTGGTACTTAAACCCCCATTGGAGATGCATGCGTAAGGGTTGTTTAGCAAAATCAATGTGTTTGATTAATCCTTTTGGATGACTAGTTTCTTATAGTCATGTAACAATTTGACCCTTAAAACTTATAATCTCACATGTTGTAGTTCTGATGGAAGTTTATAAGACAGAGTATCATTAATTTACCAGTCTATTTATGAGATGCGGAGCTTTTTTATTTCTTTTTGTATTTATGTATTTTTAGATAGTGGGGGTATTTAGGCCATTTTATTATCTTAGATATGGGGCCTGGCTTAGTCATTTGTCTTCTCTGTTGATATTTGTGTTTAAAATTTTGAGTGCATTGGTTAATTAGTTTAGGATTATCAAGTTTTGTGATGACTGTCAGTTTTGTAATTTCTGTTTTCTTTAATTCTAGTAGGATTTGGCCATCTGTATGGTGTAATTTCTGTTTTCTATTTTATCCTAAGTTCAAGAACGTGGTGGATGATAATTGAATTGATATTGGAGTGATATTTTCTGACTATTATGCTTACGGTGAGTGATTACCATAGACCTTAGAATAATTTTAGGCGCATGTTCAATGTTTCTGGGTTTCTTTCTCTATCTGCTCTCTAGATCTGTAAAGGCCATTAAATCCATCAAAAGCCCATAAATTATTCATTGAAGGAGTTTATTTCACTTCCCTATAGAACTAAAATTGATCTGAATGATCTGAATATGCTGTTCTTTAGCTTACATAGAATTGACTATTCCTTATGGTGTGTGATTTACGTAAACTCTAGAGTGAGTCTAGATGCCTATTTAGTTATTGTGGGTTTCCTCTCTCACTTTTATTTCTCTATCTTCTCTCTAGATCTTCAAACAGATATATCTATAAACAGACCACAAAATGTTAATAAAGAGGATTTTCTTTTGCATTCCTAAAGGATTGAACTGATCCTGGTACCTTTTTTTCAGTTTACATCAAAGCTCTAAAGGTTTTCATCTAAACCATTTTCATCAATTTGATCCAATTCATCTTTGATTTATCTCATATTTGGACACCTGATATAACTTCCTATTACCTTTTATCATACCAAATTTTGTTTTAGACTCTATCTAAAGCTTTAATTTTCTGAACTTTGTCCTTTTTTCTTTTAAGGGAAATTTTTAGTCCTTCTGTAGAAAGCTAGCCTAGAATGGCTTATATTAAATCAGCCTGTACACATCATCCTAAAAATCTCTACATTTTCCTTAGAAAATTTCCACCTCAAAATATTTAAAATTTCCTATATTCTTACAGTCCAATTGGCCATAGACATTCTATAGTTTCAGTGATTTGGCCAAGAACCTTTCTAACTCCTATGCCTTTCTCATAGTCTTAAATTGTACCAAACCCTTCTTAGCCCATTATTACCCTCTTGGGACATTAATTGCTGTTTTCCTACGTGGTCCTACATCAGTTGATGTTGTTGGTGTAATCAGTCCTACAACAACTTGGTACTAGAGTTGTTAGTCCTACACTAGTGCCTCAAACTTGGCTTTCATTTATTTAGATGTTCTCATACAGAAAGGGTCATCTATCAGTGGTTTTGGTTGGCCATGTTTATTGAGAATCATTTCCATGCCTTTCCGATTACATGGGAATTTTTAGATCTGGTTTAATTCTGCCTGAAGGAAATAATTCTACATGCAATATTTCTCTTTTCTTTATCTCAAAAAAAAAAAACAAAAACAAAAAGAATGCCATCTTACGTGCAATCCTCTTTTCATATTTACTTCCTCCAATCTTGTCCCCAGCAATCATTTCTTTGACTCGTTTTCTTGTTGTTAAATGTTAAACAACTAATGTTGAAAAAGAAAAGCAGGATGGAGATAGGTTTACATGAAAACAGGATGAAAGACTTCTGTGTATTCTGTAAATCTTAAATTATGAAGATTCAGTCGGGCAGGATTTCATTCCTCCAATAAGTCAATGTTACAGACCAACTAGTAGAAAGGGAATGCTGGACACCAAAATGTCCTTAAATGAGGTCTAAATTGATGGTGAAATGAATTCCAACAAAGAAGTATTCTGTCTGTCTGTAAACTAAAGTTGGAAGATCTAAAACCAAAGCTTAATGAAATTGAACAATCCAAAAAAGTTAATTTATGACAAAATGTTGAAACATTTGGATTTTAATATTTGGTTAAAACATAAAGATGCTCAAAATAGTAATTCCTGAATTTATAGTGCTATGGGATTAGCCAACCCCAAAATTTGAAGGGAAAAAATGAACAAGTTAAAGAATAAAAAAATTCTTAAACTTGATTCCAGAAAAAGGATGAAACATTTACATTAATGCTGAATTTAAAGTTAAATGTGAACAAAATGGATCTATCCTCAATTTATTGTCCAATGCGACAAAATCAACCCAAAACCTGAAGATAATGAAGAAATGTACTGCTTGATGAATCGGGTTAAGAATTGCCAAAGCTTCTCTATGTTTCCTACTTAAAATTTATTGTCCTTGCGATCCCAAGTTTGATACCTCAGTGAGACAGCCAAAAAAGTTAAGTTCCCATACATGTAATACTTTATGGCAGTGCTCGAAGACATTTTTAGCTTGTTACTGCTTGTTTTGTTATCTTACATTTATTATATACTGTATGCAGTACGTAGAAGATGCAGGTGGGGAGAATGTGGATGACTCTATCAACAAAGCTACTTACGACATCTCTATTCCTGATGATTTGGAGGCATTCCATGCCATTTTATGTGTAAGGATCACTCTCAATAGATAACAAAGTTCCCTAATTGATATCATTATTATCATTATCTAAGCCTTCAAACTATATTGGGCCGGCTGCATGAGTCCTGTTTTTCCATTCTGTTCTATTTGGTGCCATATCCCTTGTTAAACTATGAGTGCTTAAATCATTTCTCACTAAAAGATCCCCTATTGATATGTCCTTAGTTTGTTGAAGAAAATTTACACGTCATCTTTGCATTTTGAATGGTCTAAATATTTGAAATGGAAATTAAATTGGTCCATCCAACCCCATATAGTTAGGATAAGGCTTGGATGATGATGAAATCCAATTGGTCTAAGAATGATGATGATATGAAACTTTGTAACTAGCCCACTGCCATTTTAATGCCTCGTTAGTAGTTATTTGAAGTTTGAATAGTTACAAAATGTATGTTGTTCAAATATCATTGCTTGAAAAGGTGATAAAGAATGTTTCAGCCTTAGTAATTCCTCTTGCAGTATTCCCTCTATACCTTCTTTTGTTGACACATAGGGATATTGACTGGTTATCTACACAAGGGGATGCATGTCAAGAGTGGTGGTTATAGTGTCAGCAAGGGTACTCCAATAATCTTCTTGCCAAACTTATGCCAAGTTGAGGAGGGGATTGAAGTGGTTCCTCAAAGACAAGTTGTGAGGATCTCAGTTTCCCTCTAGTAGGCCCAATTTTATTTATGGTAGGATGTCCCAGTCATAGAGACATAAGGCATACCTAGAAAATTAAATTTCAATGAGCTTCTAATAAAAATTCCTTGGACGTTTTCTCTCTTTCAGACAGTGGATGTAGTCATTGATGAAACTTTTACTTCTGATGTGACTGGATACAACCTCTCGACATTTCTCCAAAACATCAATGTAGAAGATCACTCTTGTTTTGCTTTTCTTGCTAATCAAAGTGTCTGGAGATATGACAAACGAGTCCAAAATTCTACCACCATTGGTAAGATGTTCTTCACTCACTTCTTTAATATCATTCCCCCTAAGTTCCTAACTCATGAATATTGATTCAACTTCTTCATGAAAGTTCAAATTCCTACTAAAGAAATTAATGATGCATTAAATGATTTATTTCACTTAAAATTCTCTATTGCTTTCTTTATGTTTGTTCAAATGCTTTTCTTGACTGATTGTCTATGGTGATTCTACAATCAGCATATTACTGTCAAAATGATAGATTATTATATTTCCAGACACAGACCAGACCAGCCAAGGTGGTTTCTATACCATTTTAAATCAACATTGAATTGGTTCAACAACCAGTTGGTGTCAAAGTGCTCTTTAAGAGCGTTCCTGATTTGTTGATTTGTATCCTAGTGCTACTTTCTTTATATTACTTTGTATCTGCTTGTATGCTTTATCACTGTTAGGATAACATAATCCTACAAGCTTCTGATTTTATTCTTATCTTGTTTTTGGAAAATAGAGCATATAGATATATATACTCCGGACAACCTTTATATCTCTTGCTGTTATTGGCAACTATGGAGATTGGAAGACTTATGGTTCTCTTTTTTTCTTTGAAGGCATCTTACGGTTCTCTTGTAGCTTCCAAAAGAAGAGATCAAACATAAAGGATGTAATTGAATGAATATTCTCACCCCTAAATAATAACTTTTCTTAAGAGGGAAAATTGAAATGTACAGTAAAGTGTAATGTTACAATGGTCCTATTGTATTAGAATATCATAAATGAAATAAAACAAGAAAATAGTGGCCATTTACAATACTTGTCTACACTCCCCTCAATCTGATGTGGTTATAGCATCAGTTCATTTACAAGAAACTCATTGATGGCTTTGAGTTGTGGCTTTGGTGAATATGTTGTCAAGTTGAAGATCTGAAGGTAGTGAATGATCTAGTGCACTATAAAGAGATCAGGATGATATGCAGCAGAGACAAACTGACTCACAACTTGCACAGCATAGGCAATGCCAGGGTGCGTTATTGTAAGATAGATAAGGTTACCAATAAGGCGTCTATACAAGGTGGGATTTTGTAGGAGCTCTCCATTTCTGCAATGTTTCAAATTTAATTCCTTATGGGTATCAACTTGCTTGGAGTCTATAAGATGGGCAAGCTTAATTAGATCCAAGGAGTATCTTCTTTGATTCACAAAGTGTCCATGGGATAAGTAAACCTTCAACCCAAAAAGGCATGCCAAAGATGCTAGCTCCTTCATCTTAAAGGTGCTTTGAAGGTGTAACTAAAGTTGCTGTAAATCTTCTATGTTATCACCACTTCACCAGTTATGTAATCAACATAGACTAGAAAGAGGGTAAGGCCCTTATGATGAAAGAAGGTGAACAAAGATGAATAACACTCATCCAACTGCACAAGAACATGACAGAAGTGCTCAAACCAAGCACATGGAACTTTCTAAGGCCGTATAGAGATTTATTAGGATGGTACACGATAGATTTATCTGTATACCCAAGGGGAGGCTTCATTTAGATAGTCTCTTTTAAATGGCCATGAAGAAAAGCTTTGTAAACCAGTTTTGAAAGATACCAAAGGAAGATCATAACTGTCCCTGTACAATTTCTCTTTCCACTGCACCTAAATATTGAATGTCTTATCCCGTAAAAGGTCCTACAAAATTCTGAAAAATATGCTGAGTCCTAAAAAATACCTCTAATTGAATGGAAAATTGAGATCTTGTTTTCTAACTGTTCAGTTGCTTGCCTCTCCCAAGGATAGTTCTTGTTATTGTCACAAGAATATGAAGAAGCTTGTATCTACAAAGGTTTTAACATTCCCTTGCAGAAAATAGCTTTCAAAAGTAGAAGATTGATATAAAGGCGTAGTCAAATGAATATCCCCAATCCTAAAGTATAATTTTTATCAAGATGGAAAATGATATTCACAATTACAGAAATGCCCTTGGGGCAATTCATGTGTGTTACAACGGTCCTATTTCATTACAATATGATAAAGGAAACAAAACAAGAAAATAAAGCCATTTACAGATCCCTCTGCCTACAGGTATCTAGGGTGGAGGGGCAAGTGTGGGTGAATATTATATGCTTATATGACCACCACGAATCTCCCAACTAAAAGTTATGCATACCCATACAAAATTTGCTCCCCCCATCATGTATATCAATGAATTCTATATAGATATGATTATATTTTAATGAGGATTGGTAGGAACCCGTTCCAAGGTGCATTACCCTGAACTTACTGCTGCTATGCCACTGCCCATGGAATGATGAGTCTGTCTCCTAGTGTATCTTTTCATGAGTTACACCATATTTGTGGTGGTGCTGAAGTCTGGTTATGCATACTTGGTTACTTCCTAGAAATCCTCTTTTATAATATTTCTATAAATATAATACATATACAAATAAAAAAGCCGAAATTTTAGGATATACTATTATCTAGTACTTGTATTTATTTGTAATTTTACTAACCCTTATTGGCTTACAAGAATAGGTTTGAAGTTGCCTCACCTGGAAAAGGAACCTAGTTAGTTACCTAGAAGGTTCAATTTGCTTCCTTCTCTACCCGTGGAGGATTTTAGATGAATATGCTTTTATAGTGATTGTCATTGACAATCACTCACGTATGTCAATCTGATTGTCATTGACTAATCAGATATTCTATGGTTTATGTAGGTTTAACGATGTAATAGTGATATCTGTGTGGTTTTCTAGATTAAAATCTTACATGTAGCAGACTAGCTTCTGCCTGCAGAATCCAAATGTTTTGCTCTCCATGCTTTGTAGAGACAAATTTCAGTCCAGCAAGGCATTCACTCTTTTCATGTGACTATAGATCCACCTTTCTAATCATTCTTCTTAGATTTAGAAAATAAAAATGTAAGTCTTCAATTGCTAGTTTTGACTAGGATCAAATACACAGCTTGCCAGCTGGTGGGTATTTAGTAAATCATTTGGAGTGACTAAGGTAATTATTCTAAAAGGAAACCATAACTGATCTGTTAGAAATTTGTATATGGTTATTAACTTGGGAAAAGCTAATAATGGATGCTGGTGTATACATAGGATTGCTGATATCAAAACATGATTGATTGAATGGATGGGTATCTAAAGAATGGTTTGTAAGCTTCAAAAATTATTTGTCCCGTCTCTAGCATGCAGGAAAAGGCAATCAAAATATAAACAAGGGGGATTTGCCTTCCATCACTCAAAACCGAAGCCAACTCCAAACTGCTACTGCGAGGCCTTCAATTCTTTCCACCTCTTCTGCACCGAGCTAAGGAGGCTCTTCCTTCGTGCTTGGGCTCAAGGATGGTTGGGAGAGCTTGGACCTGCCCCTTTTATAGATGAAGGTGATAGAGTTGTTCCATAACTGACTCTATCACCATAAATACTTGAACATGTAGCCTTGCTCTCACATTACAAGTGGGTGCCAATCTGTTTTTGAAATCAAAGTAAATTAAATTTAATAATTATTTAAGACCAAAAAATATAACATGGTTTAGAAGGGCTACATCATCTCCTTAAGTAGCTTAGATATGATGAATCATCTGAATAACTAACTTTTTTTATTAAATGTCATCATTGTACCACTTATAGATGGTTGTCATGCTTCATCAGCTTTTGTCATCATCATTACTGCAGCTTGTCTAGATAATGTCTTCCACATCTTTAATACTTTTATTGACTGAATTTACTGTTAATTTCATCTTATGTGAAGACTGGTTTGATGGAGCCATTTCCCAGCCTCAGTTGGTTCTAGCAGATTTTATTGAAGCCCTCTTCCCTACGGGCAACTACACGACAACATTCTTGAGAAATCTTGCAAAGGTGGGTTGCCCTCCCTTCTGATGAATGACTAAAATAAAAAGAAAAAGAGAAAGGTCACTTATCATGTGCAATGGTGAAGTTCAATCTAACTGACTAGAATAGTTCACCTTTTTCCTCCTATTGTGCTTAAAGTTGTCATGAATGTGTGTAGGCTGAAGGTGTTGTAAGCATTGGTCCTGAGATGTGTGACAGAGATATCACCACGGCTATGGAACCCGCCATGATAGGTTGCTAATGAAACCAACAATTATCAAGGGTTTGTTATTAGCTATTTGCATTTTTTCTTATAATCTCTCAATGCAGTTCTATTAACCATTTTTTTGCCCTTTTCTTATGTTTATTCTTTAATGTGACTCATAATTGAGGTAAGGTACTTCATATGCTTAGTGGATCTGTTACAATATATACATGTTAAGAACTTGTGGAGCCATTCACCGGTACTGTAGCCTAACTAATTTATTTTAGCATGTAAAGTTGAACCAAGCTTTTCAAATAGTAATGGTTATCTATATTATGATACTCGGTAAAACTTGGCAGTTAAACATTTTTAAAGGATTATCTTTCTTTATTCTTTTCATTATTACATTGTTTTTTTGTCTAAAATATTTCTTTGTAGGCTGCTTTATATGAAAACGTATTTATCTTTGAATTGGAATTTCTTTTAGTTAGTGGAATCATCAAAATATATTAGATCTACAACATAGGATTGTATAACCATGTGCAAACGCTGATAGTTTCTTTAGAAGCAGAAGATCACTACCCTGTAAAAACCTGACCTGGGCTGGACCAGCCCGGCTGGACCCATGATTATTTAGAGTCAGTCAAGTATAAAAAATAAAGTTCACTGCCATATATAAGATGTATCCTTGTGCCCATAAACAAATCATACAATTCCCTTGTTCGTGGAGTTCAATTTCAAGGAATTGCATAGAGAGAAAAGATAGCATTATCATGAAATATATTTAAGAGAAAAGCTTCAAATTTTGGGTTAAATATCTCCCCATAATTAACCCATTTAGGGGGTTGGTTGAAGTGGTAAACCCACATTGTCTGGACCTTATCGAGTTAGGGTCAGATAAACGTTAATTGGGTTTTGGGTCGGTTTGGGTTGAAATGTGCCATACCAAACTGACCCGTTAACATAGCAGCATTGAAACATTTTGTAGAGATCAATTGAATATGGCATGCTATATGAAGATTGGGTCGGGTTCGGGCTGATCCAAATCCACCCCATTGATCTAAACAAAAACATGATTGGTTTTGTTTTTATTTTCAAAAACAAAATCAACCATATCGTCGAACAACCCCTTAATTGTTAATGTAATTCTGCTGCCCTCGGGTGGACATAGATGGGATCTTACGATTAGGGGTGAGAAAAAAAATCCAAAAAACCGAATCAACCAAAAAAACGAACCAAAACTGGACCAAAAAATTGGTTAACCGAATCGATCGGTTCGGTTTCAGTTCGGTATTTTAAAAAAAGCAAAGGTACTGGTTCGGTTTTAGTTAATTAATATAGAAAACTAGCAGTTAACCGAACCAACCGATATACATATATTTCTATATATTTTATATATATTTATGTATATTATATATTATATTTTTGTATATTATAAATTAATAAATATGCAATATATATAAATATATATTTATAATTTTTATTATATATTTATATATATTTTTGTAATATATATTGCAAAAATTAAAAAACCAAAAAACCAATGAATTGAACCGATCAACCAATTAACTGATTGGCTTTGGTTTAATTTTGGTTACCAATTTTCCAAAAACTAGTAGTACTGATTTGGTTACAAAAAAAGGCCCATGGTTCAGTTAACCAAATCGTGAGCATCCCTACATGTAATTAGCTATTAGCTAGTGTCACTCATCACATTACCATTCAGATTGAGTTTATTACCAGAATCTAATTAGGTCTACAAGCAACATTACCCAATCCGAAGAATTTTAACTACATCAGGCTCTGGTAGGTTTCAGGCCCATTGAAAATTTAACAAACTCTCAACCCAACCCAATCTAAGTTTGCACCCCCTAGATCCAATAGCATCAAACCTCTCGTCTGAGGAAGGTACCAAACCACTGCCAAAATAACTGTTAGATGCTTTTCAGATTCGAAGTTGTTATGGAACACAAATATTGTGCAAGGCATGAATGAAGCTTATATAAATTCAAACGGCTGCTTATTCATATAATATCAACATTAAGGGTTCAACATATGCGAGAAGTTATTGAGACCTGATTGAAATGGAGCAGAATGGTCATATGCACAAGAGTAAGAGGTTAGTTTAGCTTATCACATCAAAGGACAAGCTTCATTCGTTTATGAATTTTTGGTTTCTTGAGGAGTGGAGGGTTTGGGGGGCTTGGGCAGGTTTTCCAACCTTCTAACAGCTGAAGTGGCTGAATTGAATGATTATTGTGTTGTAGCAAATAACTTATTCATGAGGTTACAAATTCGTTAATGGCTGAAGAAAGTTGGGTTGACCATATTTCATCGAATATTTTATTATTTAATTATTACATCCACTAGAAACCAAAGCAATAAGTCATTCAGTTTAATCATTTTAGCTGTTATCAAATGGCCCTTCGCTTTTGATTAGAAGATTTTAAAATGGAGGGTGTCCAAATTCATTTGTTAGAGAATTCAGGGCTTTCACCTAACAGTTTAAGCTCTTAGGTTGAATTTCTTGACTTAGCACCCGAACTTGTTTAACCAAATGATCTGGCGTTTTATCCTCATTGCCCCATCATAATTAATTAAATTTCAGGTGTGGTTGATCCTATATTTGTCCACACCTCAAGCCTGATGGGCTTTCACATGAGGGGACATATTATAAATAAAACTGTATTGAGGAACCTCCCTTAACAGTTAACAGTTTATTTTATGTTAATCGTTTAATGACACCAGTATCATGTCCAAGGTTTTTAAAATCGAAATAGATAATAAATCGGTCAGGGGTCCAGTCTGACCGTTCGAATCAAACGGATGACCCGTTCTGATAAAAAAAATTAAAAAAAATTACAAGAAAAATACAAAAAAAAATGAAAACCATACAAACTGTTGAACGGTTCGAACACCCGGGCCAGCGGTTTGCTGACCAAATCAATGGTTTTGGGGAAATAACAGTTCTGGGGTAAAACAGAACCGATCACCTGACCGGTTCCCAATTTTTGGTCTGACCATCCGGTCCGGTTTTTAAAACCATAAATCATGTCCAAGGTATTCATTCCCCCCAAGCAGAAACTAAATACATCGCCAAATAATAAATTTGATTTTGCTAGTTTGAAAAGAGAGGGCTCCTTTTGAAGGTAGATATTAAGGCCACGTCATCCATATCATCGGTACTCACTTTGTCTTTGTTACAGGTATTCGGTACTCACTTTGGCTCATGTTAAATGTTTTTTCATACTGATCGACCACACTATGATGTGGGATCATTTTATTGGTCTGCAGGAGGAAACACTCACTAGACGTATGAGCTTAAGTAAACTCCGTTATCCACCGTAAAAAGAGCATTCCCTCCTTTCGGTAAGGTTCCAAAGATAAGGGAATGCTCCTTTTGATGGTGAATATTAAAGCCACGTCACCGGAAGTTTTTTCCATTATCACGAGAAGTTTAAGATCCTCTGAAACATGTTTAACATGGCTTCCTTGTTGGTACTCTGAAAAATTGTTGGAAGAAAAGGGACTTAGATCATGATTGGGAGAAATCCATTTCTCCCTCTTCAACTCCTCATCACCTTTGTATTCCTCTCTCCTTCATGTTCTCTCTTACACGGCTACAGCTTCAATGATAATCAAGGTTCAAAATATCGGGTTATATTGGTACTTTTTTTTTAGTTTTTTTTTTTCAAAACGGGCTGGTTTAAGATTCCTCCACCCCCTGCGATCAGAACCACGATACACCACACTCTCTGTAGGGACGTATCGGGAAGCTCCCGAAATGATATATATTGGCCAATACGTGTTGATACTTTAAACCTTGATGATAATGCCTCTTGTATCTCTGCTCTCTGCATTTTTTAACCTCAAATTGTTTGGTATTGAGTGCCTGTTTGGGAGATGGGCCCTAAATGAACAGTTTATAAACTACATCGGGTGAAAAATCTAGAAAGCCCAAGCCAATGTCAATCAATCATTTGAAGGGCTGTCTGCTTCAACCTCCTTGAATAGCTTATCTAAAGCATTTCTCGAACATAACTGAAGCAGCTTAGCTGAATCTTTGGCTTAGCCCTCCTAAACAGGCCCTGAATTATGAAATTTACCCTAAAAATAATATAAATATGACACTAAACAAAATAAAATGACAAAATAGGATTCATGTAGCCGACCTTATATACTTAGGAAAAGGCTTACATGGTGATGATATATACTAATGTGGTCATTTATATATGCTTATCAAAAGACCTATTAAGTTCATGTGATGTAGAGGAATGGCATAACCAATCAAATCCCTCCACCGGTCTCTCAGGATTAGTTGTACCAAAATGTGCTTATTATAGTGAAATGGCAACTTGGTAAGGTCTTTTAGGCTCATCTTCATCATCATCACCACCAAAGCCTTAACCCAACCATATGGGGTCAGCTACATGAATCTTGTTCTAACATTCCATTTCATTCTTTTAGCCTAAATCTCCTCGCTTGGTTTAACAAACTGCTTCTAATGCTGTGTTCTCATGACTTCAATTTTAATTTCGAAAAAAAAATAAAAAAAATAAACAGTAGTAATATAATTGGCATTTAAATCCTATAGGTTGAAGGGCAAGGTTGCGATTGTAACCGGTGGCTCAAGGGGAATCGGCGCCGCGACGGCCAAACTATTTGCCCAATCCGGTGCCCATGTTATAATTGCTGATATCTTAGATGAACTGGGCATGGGGGTTGCCGACTCAATAGGAGGCCAATACATACACTGTGATGTCACGTCGGAATCCGACGTCGAATCGGCCGTCCAGCTTGCCGTGGCCTGGAAAGGCCGACTAGACATCATGGTCAACAATGCCGGCATCACAGGCGCGGATGGGAGCATTGTGAAGCTTGACATGGACAAACTGAAGGAAGTAGTGTCAGTGAACATCAACGGCATGGTACACGGCATCAAGCACGCAGCACGGGCCATGATCAAGGCCAGACGGGGATGCATTATCTGCATTTCTAGCTCGGCAGCTCTCATGGGCGGACTGGCTTCCCATGGCTACAGCTTGTCAAAGGAAGCAATTCTTGGGTTAGCCAGAAGCACTGCCTGTGAACTGGGGGCATATGGGATACGTGTGAACTGCATCTCGCCGCATGGGGTGCCGTCGGAGATGCTGGTAGATGGATTCCGGAGGGTGCTTGGGAAGGTGGATATTGGGGCGGAGGAAGTAGGGAAGGTGATCGGTGAGAGGGGGAGTCTACTACTTGGGAGGAGTGGGAGCACTGAAGACATTGCACAGGCCGCACTGTTTCTGGCAAGTGATGATGCTGGATATATAACTGGTCATAATCTTGTTGTGGATGGAGGTTTCACATCTGGTTATAGCTTCATGAGCTTCTTATACAACTAAATTACACTGTTTTGCCTTGTGATAGAACCCATGTTCTATGCTCTTTTCTGTTTCTTAATTTTCTCTCCTTTTATTTGGGTAGGTAGGTTGACATGACTGGACATGGGCCTGAAGGTCCATAATACTAAAAACAGAATGATAGCATCGATTTTGGCCATCTGATTCTGATATATAGCAAGTGTAATATCAAGAAAAAGGTTGAGTGTGTTAAACTTAAAGCACATCTTTCTACCTATAATCTTTCTTTGCTTAAAAATGCCAAGAGAGATGTAGGAGCTTTTATTCATATTTCTGTCACAGAGTGGACCAAGCTGTCTTTCAGAGACAATTCATATAACACGCCAAGTTAGAAGCTTGTTCCAGGGTTTGCTCAAGAAGAAAACTATCTTTCAAGCCACTTTTATAACACGGGCTATGGATACTTCAGAAAAGAATAAATTGTCATACCAGCTTGGATCAAGTCCAGCAATTAATAAATGCCTGGGCCTTGATATTATTTCAGTAATTCACCAATAGAGTTAGTCATTTATAATGAATTTGAGTAAATCTAAGCTTAAATTAAGCGGACCTCATTTCCTGAATCTTCAAAACAAGCAAAGGGTGATTTTGAGGTGGCTAATTCTCTCTTCATTCCCCTTCCTTTGCCCTCTTCATCCTTTTTTCTTCTTCTTCAACTTATGGGTAATCTACGACCCTTGTAGAATCATCCAAACTGTCCCATGAATTTCTACATTAATTTAAAATAAGTTTCTCATAAAAGGAGACTTCCATGAGTCGTCTTGATGAAGATTGGTGATGGTTCAAGAAAACAAACAAACAAAAAAAAAGGAATAAAAGAAAGCAGCATATATAAGGGCAAAAATGTAATTTGAGCTATTGCTTATATTAACTTCATTCCATTCATTCTTATTAACTCCTATATTTGAGGTATTAACCTCGACCTCCTCTCAATAAATATTATATTTACTATATTAAATTCTCTCTCATTAATTCCCTCTCATTAAATATTATATTTACTGTTTATTAATTTTTACTTCATTCAATTCCCTCTCATTAAGGTGTTAACTCCCATTCTCCTTTAGATTCATTAATTGAAGTGTTTTTGTTTGTCACCAATAAACTTTACTAATTAAATCTATACCCATTAATTTTAACAATACAAACCTATGTGTTCAAACCCAATATGAAAACTAAATTGTCCTTCTGTCTAAGTGGTAGGTATGTAATTAAACTATCTAGGTCAAATGGATCAACCAATGGTCTCATACTTGAATAATAAAGGTCTAAAAATAATAAAGACCATTTTGTTGTATAGCAGTCTTTCAAAAGCTCAAAAGATATTCTAAAAGGACTTGCCGAATAGACCCTAAATCTTTATACATAATTACCCCAAGGGAATCAAATCTATTATGATGAGAATGGAGTTTTTAGTTCTTTACAAAAATCTTAAGACTTTTTAAAATCTATTTAGTGATCCTTTGTAGTGTTTCTTTTATATTTATTGAGTACACTAATAAAAGAAGAAAAAATGACTTAATTAGGTTTGGATCAAATTAGCCTTAATTGGGTTTCAGGTCATGTTTGGATTCAACCAAACCCATGCCTACCCAACCCTTCAATAGTGATGATCATGAGTCGGGTTAGGTTTTTACAAGCTGTTAATAGCCTTGTGGCCTACCTAGGCCTAATAAAACATGTTCGAGTTTGGTTCCGGGCCAAGATTCTAGGCTGGCCCATATGAATATACAGGATTTATATTTTAAAATAAATAAAGTTTTAGCTTAACTATATATATGTGTGTGTGTGTGTGTGTGGATATATATTTGGTAAAATACTATGCCATGTATGAAAGATACCATACAATTACCACAAACAATTAAGATACTATACAAATAAATAAGACATTATACACATATTATAGTATATATTATAAATATACATACATCTTCTAGGATGGGTTGGGTTTGTTGGATGTAGGGCTTACTTGGCCTGAGCCCAACGTGCAATATGTGCAGGCTTGATACGAATCCGATCTAGACCAAGCTTGAGAGAAATTTGACTTCCTTGGCCCAAGAATTTGCAAGCCAAGAAGGTCGGGCTGATTATAAATGATCATCCCTACCTATCAACATCATAATCCCACATTTGTAAATTTAAGCACATCCCTAAAATTAAAGTGACTAATGCCGGTCCATAAAAACAAATAAGAATTGAAATGGGTCATTGTAATGTATCTTATATAGAAACTGGATTATTTTTTTTGAAAGCTAAATTGGCATTAATCAAATGCTTAGCATAGCTAAGGGTAAATTTTTGTTTGGTAATTGCAATCACCTCCCCTAAATTTTCTAGCATAGTTGCAAGTATACCCCCTATTAGAATCCTCTAACTAATTCTGATCATACGTGAAATACTAGTTTTACCCTTATTTATATTTCAAAAAATATTAAATAAAAGGGCAATTTTTGTCCAACCAAAATTCCAAAAATATTATGTGAACATTCATACATTTTATAGTAACTGATTTATTGCTATCCCAAATCCCTTCAATCTCTTTTTGGAAATTGATTTATTTTCCTAATTTTCCCTTCATATCATTGGTATTTTGAACATTTTTGTGTTTGTTATTAGATGATTCTAACAGGGGATCTACTTACAATTGTTAGAAAGTTCACGGGAAGCGATTGCATTTACCAAATTTCAAGGGAGGTTTCAGCAATGTTTAGAAACTTTAGGTGAGGTTTCAGCAGTCTACCTTAAATAAAAATCTCATTATTCATTCAATGTGACAACCAATTAATGGAGAACACTTGGGTTTTGATGAGAATTTTGTTAAGATAAATAAGAAGAAATTTTATAAAATAAAAAGAGGATTTGCAAAGGGTTCCAACCAAAGTTAGACATACCCTAATAGCCGAAAGTGAAACTTCGGGCCCATCTGAACCACAACAGACCACCCAACCCGCATCACTTACGTACCCTAACCCAGCAAGCACAAAAAAAAGACTTCAAAATAAACATATCACATTTCCAACTTAAAGCAACCTTTATATCACTTCTAAACTCCCCTTCCTCTCCTTCCCCTTCCCCTAGTGTTGCGGTTTAGAACAGTTGTACATGAAATAGGAAGACACATGTAAAATATCATTTACTAATAATGATAGAAGAGTGAAATATTAAATATACTTTGGTCTTTAGACACTTTCAATTGCCATTCATGTTGAGAAATTGTTGTCATTAATTTCAGTCTATAATAGTTTTTGTTAAGCACGTTATAAAATACGTGCTTTCTCTTTATCTGTACTTCAAATAATGCCTATTATGAAAGTGACCAAGCAATTCAGTTACCAACTTAGGCTCCATTTGGAAGGAGTACAAATACAAATATGTAGAGTGTAAAACCATATATTTTGTATGAATTTGTACTGTACATATTTGTATTTGTACTTCTTCCAAACTGAGCCTTAATAGTCAATACACGTAGAGTAATTATGGTCTTTAATTTCAAACTTTAAATATGTTTAATTAAACAAGTGAAGAGTAATTAGTTTTTAAATATGTTTTATTAAACACAGGAAATACTTGTTTTACCCTTATTTATACTTCAAAAAATATTAAATAAAAGGGCAATTTTTGTCCAACCAAAATTCCAGAAATAATGTCAACATTCATACATTTTATAGTAGTATAGATAGATATAGATTATATTAGTTTTTAACACCACAAAAAGTGCTTGGATAGAAATTGATGGTACTCCATCTTATCATTTTATTCCACAAAATTTCATTAATACAATAGGAATTATATATAATACAGATTACAAATCTATAATTTTAAATTTTAAGTCTCAATCACCGATTACAATATTAGGTGGTACGTGGTAGTGTAAAGGCTTTGTTATATGTTCCATTATTTGTTGCTTACAATTTGATGAACTTTTTCAAGCTCTGCGTCCCTCCAACACATAATTAAGTTTTAGGTGAATCAGTGCGAATAGGTTGAACGTAAAATCTCAGCATAAATCATTACATTCATTGATTTAAAACCAATAAGTACCCAGACTGATTTAAAACCAATAAGAAAGAAACTGCCTCTCAACTCAGATAGTGGGCCAATCCCCATGTCATTGATTGAACCAATATGGATGGATTCTTGCGGGTGAACGATTCAAAGGAATATATGCCTATAGAACAGTGCTTTCAATCCGTGGTTGACCCAACGATCTGAACCATGTCACCCAGTGGCCCATGACCCAGAGGCAAAAACGGTTCAGCCTCCGGGTCGGTTTTAAAACATTGCTATAGAATAGAAATATGACCAGGTAACAGGTTGACTGGTCCGACTAGCCGGTTTGACCATGAACATCCGATTTATATGTTTTTATTGATGGAGAGAGATTCCTAATGCATGACTGCAGGGGATTATGAGAACGGCCTTCGCAATCCTTGGCGATTCTGTGGCTTGTGCACTGTACATTCGCTGATGTTTCCAATCACCATTTTAGGCTCATTAGAGGCCCATCTTGAGTAGAAATTGTATAGGTTTCTCTTCCTTTCCCTTCATTTTCCTTCAAACCAAACATAACCTTTATGCATGTATTCAACTATATGATGTAGGAAAGCCATGATACCGGAAAAATTTATAATATAATCAATCAACGAATTCGCATCATAGAAAGTGGATTCCCATCAAAACTTATCCCGCCCCCCTGAAGCCTAATCAGGCAAAATTCATTGATGAAAACAATCAAGCACAAAAGACAGACTAACCCAAAATGTTGAGAGCTGCACTATTAGCAGATGCACAAGCAAAAAACACTGACCAGACCAGTTGGGGATTCTTGACATATAAACTCTGCAATGGGCAAGTGCAAGTGCTTTAATGCATGCATCATTCATATTTGTATACATTGGACGTAGCATATAAATATAGCGCTTTGTCAGACTAATACACACAAGAAGTGCAGATTTGCAGCGACTAATTACAGAACCAATTGTAGT